CAAGACAAAAGAAATAATAGTAGACTTCAGGAAGAACCCCTCCCATCTGCTGCCTCTGACCATCAAAGGGACTGAGGTGGAGAGGGCTGACAGCAACAAGTTCCTGGGCCTGCAGGTGACATCTGACCTGAGCTGGTCACTGAACACAGCTGCTACAGTGAAGAAAGCCCAGCAGTGGCTAAACTTCATCAGGCAGCTCAGAAAAGCTGGTCTGAACTGTTGCCCTCTCACCCAGGCTTATAGAGGACTGGTAGAGAGCATCCTCACTACTGGCATCAGTCTGGTATGGTAACACCACACAGGCAGAGGGGAAGGCTCTTTAAAGGGTCATAAAGACTGCAGAGAGGATCATTGTTACTGAACTGCCTTCTATGGACACACTGTACACACAGTGCTGTCGTAAAAGGGCAGAGAACATAATCAGGGATCGACGCCACCCAGCTCACACTCTGCTCAGACACAAAAACTGCTCCTACAGCCTCAGGCACAACAGGACGGACAGTATCGTCACACACAGAACAAGATTTTACAACAGCTTTATCCTTGCTACAGTAAGACTGATGGCAAATACAAAAATGTGAGAATATATGTGCAATAACCCCTTACTAGACATGCTCAATAATAAAACACAAATATTCCACAAGGTATGTTTGTAAGAACATCTCATCAACAGTGTTCTCTTGGGGGACCTGAATAATAGCAGGACATTCTCCACCAAGCAGTGGAAACAGGTCTGAATATAAACTGTTTTAGTATGTTATAACCCCTCACTACCTCACCAAGTGTAATGACATATCCAACTCCACCATGTGAATTACTAAGTGCAATGTTTGAACTTCACTGTGGGAAATACTATTACTCTGTTTTTGTGTATTGCGGTTTTAATGCTTAATGTCGCCTTTATGTAACTTTTTTATTTTAAGACTAAATGTTCTTTCTAGCTTTTGACTCCCTACCTGACTCCAAAGGAGATCTATATGCCTAGACTGTCTGTTTATGCATAAATGGCAAATAAAAATCTTGAATCCTTGAATCCTACCTGTGTTCTGTGTTTAGTTGATGAATGAGAAAGACAAAACACACATTTTACAACAGGCAAAGAAGCTCAAAGGATCTAACATCTATATAAATGAGGATTACACCGAGGCTGTGAGGAAGAGAAGAAAGGAGTTGATGCCGAAGTTAAGGGAGGCCAGGGAGAAAGGAGACGTTGCTTTTCTGAGATATGACCGACTAGTGACCCATCCTCAGAACCAGGGACCAGGACCCAAGTCTAGCACGCCGAAGACCAGCATGCTGAAACAAGAAGTGGGAGGAGGGGCCCCGGGACCCTAGGCTGCATGGGAGAGATACGAAGTATGAAGAAATACGCAGGTGTATTGATATCTGCGATGGCAGATGAGTGTCGAGTCTACAACACCAAGCATGACCCATGTACTGAACGAGGCAAGTGATTTGTCTCATAAGTTAAAAGTTTTTGACGAATTGGAAAGTCAACATCATGAACCGGACGAAGATTTTGACCCAGAAATAAACTTTTTTGTGAACTATGAAAATAACTGCAAGTATTATACGGATGAGCAGTTTAACAGCAATGTTAAGACTGAAAACAATTTATCATTAATTCATTTTAATAGCAGAAGTTTATATGCAAACTTTCAGAGTATAAAACATTATCTTAGTAGTCTTACACACTCTTTTAATATAATTGCTTTTTCAGAAAC